CCGAGAAATTGCGTTTTTTTACCAAAACTGAGAAATTTCGTTTTTGCCAAAACTGAGAAATTGCGTTTTTCCGCCAAAACTGAGAAATTACCGTTTTTGCCAAAACCGAGAATTTGCGTTTTTCGCCAAAACCTAAAAATTATGTTTTTCCGCAAAAAAAAACAAAAAAATACGTCTTTCCCGCCAAAATTGAGAAATTGCATTTAAAATTAAAAATTTAAAACTGCTTTCTTGTTAAAATTATGAAAATATATTTTTAGATAGTCCATGGACACCCATTGTCCATTTGGTCTTTACCCAATTGGACCATATACCCATTGGTCTTTTGTCCAATTGGACCATTTATTAGTTGGGTGTGTCCATAGCCCGCCCATAATGAATTGGACTGGGCAAGCCCATGGTCAGCCCGCCCAATTGACACCTATATCTGAAAGACACCAAGTGTAAGTATGCATATTTTTAATTTGCATGACTGGCTTCCTATTTATAGTCACCAGTGATACTTATATTCACGCCTTTTTAACTATTCACAGTTTTATTTTGCTTAAATGGTCAAATCAACTAATAAGCTCGTAACTATCAATGACACTAACGTTTGTATTAGATAATTTTCTTGGTTAAAAGGGGACGAAAATCATTAGTAGTATAACAGTTAATTTAACCAAGAGGCTATAATATATGTATGGCTTGACATGGTGATCAATGTTGAGGTTTGATAATCATCAGTTGAACAGTTGATCAATGTGTCATCATAATTTTAATTCTTCCGGTTAGTTTGAATTTGGTGAAAGAAATTCACGTATCCCTAAGAGATCAACACACTCAAGAATCCTAAACTGTCTAGGGCTGAAGTTTGGACCGTGACACAAAGCATATTGTCTCATACATCATGTAGTTTGCTTCTTAATTAAAACGGTTAATTGTACTCTTCAGGTATTTATTTTTATGACATGATCACTGAGCTTTTCTTATATATTATAGTAACGTGCCAAGTGGTTTCAGCATGATGAGTTCCAATGTATACTAGGTTCAAACTTCGAGAACGCTTTGGGAAAACCCTAAATCATTTGCTCGTGCTTGAAGAAGAACATGATGCAAGTTACAAACAAATTTAGTCAAATAATTCGATTAGGTTTTAATTAACAAATACAATTCCGTGGTACTTTAAAGAAAATATATGCCTAAATCAAAGCAATTTCAAAGGAATATTTTGGGGGAAATTAAACTCAACAATATGTTTAGAAATCTCTAGCTAGTACAAGCAATCTTACCAAAGTAATTAAGAGCTTAACATCACAAATATTAATGGTATATATACGAATGAGTATTGGATCAAAAAGTTCATAAGTGATAAAGTACTTACTCGGAGCTAGCGAAATCATATAATCTTCCTTTCTGAGAGAAGACAATGGTGGCTACTTGAGCATCACATAGAACTGAAAGCTCGTGAGCCTTCTTCAAGAGACCTTTCCTACGCTTGGAGAACGTGACTTGTCTGCTCGTCACGTCCTCGATTTTCTTGATTTCGATCTTCCCTCTTACCATGTTCCTGACATGTTGATGAATCCATAAGAAACCCTAAAGTCTGAACGAATATTGGGAAAGGAAAAAATAGTTATCAAAGAAGAAAAGGAACTCACTTGGATCTGAATCCAAAACCAAGAATGGCTTCTTGAAATATATTGGAGAGAGATCTAAAGACTAGATCTGATAACTTCCCTAGAAAAATATGTTGGTAAATATATCTGGAAAATAAAGAAACCTCACAAAACCCTTTTAAGTTTTTTGGCAAGATTCGATTTCAAAACACCTTTACAAGAACAGAAATCTAGCCGACCAAAAAACTCTATGATATGAACAAAGAATAAACAAAAAGAGATATAGAAGTGGGAAGAGCAATAAAATTGGTGAAAACAAAGAGAAATGGATGAACGAGCCGTATACTAGAATTAGTCTCTCTTTCGTCTACCTCTCCTTGCCTCTTGGTACTCCTTAAGCTAGGCACAAACCCTAAGTCAACTAGTCTTAGCTCAGGAAACCTTTTTTTATTATGCTACTTCTATTATCCCACCCAAATGAAAAAGCCTGAAAATTCTATAAATATGCTTTTAACATATTGTAATAAGTTTCTATTATTCTATTCTTTTTCCTTGTCCAAAAAACTACTCCAGCGATTTTGCTTGCTTTTTTTTCTTTTGGGCAGACCCTTCATACTTATATTAAAGAAAACAGAAACCAGTCTAGCCAACAGAGGGCAGGGTAGAGGTGGCTAAGATAGTGGACTTAGCTAAAATATATAATATCGATCTTTTTTGGAACATATGCAACATATTAGTTCTCCTCTCTCTCTCCCAAATTCTCACATTCAAAACCAAACTTATTTCTCTCTACAAACAAAATCTCATAGGTGAAGATCTGAAGAAAGTAAGACCGTGTGGAGTTATAAAACGAGCAGACGGATCAAACTTGATGAACTGAAAAGAGAAGAAAAAACAATAGTTCAAGTTACTTTTTTTTGGTCAACAGTTCAAGTTACTTAGGCCGTAAAATGTTGATAAAAAAAGGCCGCAAAATAAATTATAAAAATAATTCGCCCACCGTGGGGCTCGAACCCACGACCACAAGGTTAAGAGCCTTGCGCTCTACCAACTGAGCTAGACGGGCTGTTTGTTACTGCACATTACTTTTAAGTTATAAACATAATTTGACTTGTGCACCAAAGAAAAGTAAGTAACTGCAATAGAAACCACCATTAACTGTTGAACCAAAAAAAAAAAAAAACCCACGCTTAACCTCTGTGAGTGTGATTCTTCTGTGTCTTATAGGAACCTATACCAACCACTTATTATCAAAATCAAATTTCTATAAAATATTTGGTAGTTGCCCTTTGTTTTGAAATAAGTTCTTGGAATATAACACTTGAAACACCATTTTATAGCCATTTTTGTTTTTACAAATATGTAACGATCTACAATTTGATGGTATGGTCTTTACTCAGGACTATAGTAAAACTTGTAAAGAAACTTAAAGAGTAACTAGATTACTCAAAGGCCAGCCTCTGAGTGCCAACAAGTGAAGCATATGATCCATTTTGCGCCACCAACTCAGAATGAGTTCCAAGCTCTTTGATCTTCCCATCAGCGCATACAGCGATCTGATGCGCGTTCTGGACTGTGCTCAATCTGTGAGCGATGACCAAAGTTGTCTTGTCTTTCATCAGACGGTTCAACGCACTCTGTACCAAACGTTCGCTCACTGCATCAAGCGCACTCGTGGCCTGCAACAAGAAAGCAAGAGAGAATAAGCAAAGGAGGCTTTTATCTTAAAGCTCTATATGCTTTTAGTACCAGTAACAGATTTGTCTAAACCATGCAACTAGATAAGAGCTGAATTGTAATTTTTGTCCTGTGTACTAGAATTTCATTAGAACTTGTTTATGGATGTAGCACGGAACTGTTTGTATATGTGTTCCTTTTCTCCCATAAAATAAGCTTCTACTTACGCAAGTGTTCTAAGGTTCTAGCAAAGTAAACAGTCCATCAAAGATGAAATTATTAAACTAAGAGCCTCTCACCTCATCGAGAATCAAGATGGGGGCGTTCTTCAGCAAAGCCCGGGCTATGGCAACTCTCTGAAACGTTGATAAACAAGCACATCAAAGCGGTAGCAAAAGTCTACGAGGAACAAAAACACGTAAGGCTTAATGTATTTATGTACCTGTCTCTGTCCTCCGCTAAGCAAGCCTCCTCGTTCACCCACTAGTGTATCGTATCCCTATTAACAAACACCACCGGTATTGGTAAGAAGAGCTTAACTTCATTTGCAAGAAGAACAAGTCACGAATCCGAACCTGAGGAAGTGAGACTATGAACTCATGAGCGTTGGAAGCTTTGGCTGCCTTAATGATGTCGTCTTTGGACACATGATCATTAGGGAGACCATAGGCAATATTCTCGGCAACCGAGAGAGAAAAGAGAACGGGTTCCTGAGCCAAACATGAATCATAAACATTTAAAGAGAGAAGAAGATATAATCCGACCAAGCCTGACCCAGTACATATGTTACAGATACACACCTGATTCACAATTGAGATAACCTTAGCCCATTCACTCTTATCAAACATCCTCACATCCTCTCCAGCCACAGTAATACGTCCTTGTGTTGGCTGGCGAAAATTGGAAACTCAACCCATCAGCATGATGTAAAAGCCGCTTCAAAATTAGTTTTTACAGATAGCAGACTTCAAATGGGAAGAGGGAAGTCGATTAACCTCATAGAAGCGTGCCAATAACTGTACAATAGTACTTTTTCCCGCACCACTAGAACCAACAAGAGCAGTTACGGTGCCAGCTTTTAACGTTAAACTGAACCCATCAAGAACTTTCACATCGGGTCGTAGAGGATAAGCAAAATGCAAATCTACACAAGGCAAAGTAAGAAAATGGAAAACCCTCAGCTTAGAAAATGGTACAACCTCAATTTAAGGAAGGTTTGGGGAATCTTGAAGTATGATAACATGAGGAGAGTTTCTTGGTCTGATTTTACCGTCAAGACAGACATCTCCTGCCCAAGTCAAGGTACGTAGATTGTTCGTTGATTTCAGATCTGACATGTAGTACTTATCCAGGTGACGAATATTCACATCAGGGCCAGAAGACAAGAACAAACTAAGGTTCTCATCTTGGACTTTCTTTGTATGTATATCTCTTTCTAACCCGTAGGCAAGAGACTCATCTATGTCCACTGCATTTAAAATAGAGTTGATCCTCTCGATAGCAGCGAAACTTCCACGTAGATCTCCAAACGTGTTTACAAGCCCTTGGACCTGGCAAACAGAAGTAACGATTATGGTAAACTAAATTACATGTGTAGAATGTGGGTAAAAGTAAATGCTGCGTAGATGGTACTAACAGCAAACGTTAGAGTAAATGTGTATCCAATGAAGGAGACAACTGTTCCAACAGCAAGCTCTCCCTGTGTAAGAAAAATACCTTAAAAATAAGAACCAAGAAAGATATAGTGCAAAAGGAGCAAGAAAGTAACAGACACTTGATTGTTAAGTTATGATAATAACAAAATTCCAGACTGTAGTAACTTTGTTCTAGCTTGAAACATCCAGTCATTTATTCCAGAATATATGAACGACAAGTAACACGATCTTCTATAAGAGAAATTCATCATATCACCATTCTCTTATTGCCTTAATTAAGAAGCTTAATTTCAAGCATAATGGCAATCAAAAAGTTTTACAGGCAGGCATATCTTACCGTCTTGACCTTGTTTCCCCCAAGAGCGTAAAGAGCCAACAGAGAAATATAAACAGCAACTCTTGTTATAGATTCATTTATAGATTTGAAAGTACCAAGCTTCAAACCGCTACGCTGGTAAGAAAGAATCTGTAAATCAAACAGATGGTTATAACAAAAGATCATGGAGCAGCTAAAATAAAAACAACAGTTGTTTAGAAGAAGTGACTTATAACTAGTGAGAAGACTGAAATATGACCTGACTACCAAAGAGAGACATCTGACGTTTTTCACCACTGAATGATCTTACCTATAAAGAGAGAAAAATTACTTGCTTCGTTAAAGGAAAATCAAAAGTTTCTACAGTCAATCTGCCCACAACATACAATTACAATGAAGTCAATAACTTACGGTTCGGATTGCAGAGAACGTTTCTGATACACAGTCAGACATTGTCGCTTGGGCTAATCCGTGTGCTTTATAAACAGGAACAGTCGATCTTTTGTACACAGCTTTTGACCAAATGAGCAGATTTAAAGGTGAGCAAAGATGACCAAAAGGTACCAAACAATAAGTTCAGGAAAAGTGAGCAAGGCTTGGAGAATTTACCAACTAAAACTGACACAGCGAGCATCAATAGACCAAGCACAGGTGCAAGTTGAGGAGATAGAGTAAACAATATGCAGATTGTTCCAAAAACCTACGAAGATAAAAAGCATGAGCCATAAGAACTGGGCATTCTTGAGATGCAACAAGATACTCTTTGTCATGTACGATCAACACAACACCAGGCTAAGGTTGATTCTGTATTCATTATGCAAAGTGGAAGCACAAACACAAATCTCACATTTGCATAGTAAAGAAATGGCTTGCCTCAGAAAATGCCCTAAATCCACGATCTCTTGAAATGTTATCATTCACAATGCTATTAAGAGCCCCAAGATCAGAGGTAAGCAGCCCCGTCAGCTCTCCTACCTACAACTTATGAACTCAGCCCAAATGTACCAAACCACGAGACAAAAAACAAAGAGAAAAAAAAAACACAAACCTTATATTTGTCGAAAAACTCTGCCTGCAAATACATAAAGAAAACAACATTAAAGATACTACGGTGGTAAACATTTAGCAAATTATGATCATGGGAAAACAAACCATACCTTCTGGATCAAAACCCTTCTGAAAATCTGAGCTCTTAACGTTGCCATAACGCTTTCCCAGATAGCATTCATGTTGGTTACAAAAGCAATAGTAAAGATGGGTTCTAACGAATACAAAACAGCGATTTTGCTCAGCAGCTGCCACAGAGGATCCGGCCGCACGCCAATCAACACTTCAAAGAATCTACCTTTACAACTCCAAACATAACACTTAACATTATTTCTGACAAAAAGATCAATACATATTTAATTCAACCAATAACGAAAAAAAATTATTGTCAGTTACACCAGCAAACCAGCACATGACCACAACAAAAATAATATGAACCACATGAACTATTATGTGTTATGCTGCTATATGAACTATCTCAAACTACATGAATTATACGGACTATGAATCACACGAACTATTATGAAACTACATGAACTATTATGCAATATGATAGAAGATGTGTGGATGTGGCGGATTCTGACAAAATTGATATGTGTCCAGTAATTTAGCCATAACTCTTAGTATACAGCTCCAATCCACTTGAAACCACTTCCATTATAAAAATAACTCAATTTCCTATGTTGTGACAAAATATGAGCTTAAAAAAAGATAATATCTTTTAAACCTTCATCCAAACTACTCTTTGAACGTTTTATGACTTAAATCCGTTCCCAAAATCGATATAACCGCTCCAAACTCCATACGATCTCTCAGAAATCTGAAATCACACAAATGCATATCTAAATGCAATATATACTCCTAAATGCAATCTAAAATAAACATAAACATAGATGTGTTGAAATGAGGCAAAAACACGTGTCAATAACTAAAATTAGAAAATTAAACCAAACCAGCAAATAGCATACCACAATCACAATAGCTAAAAACATGAAGGCTAAATTGAATACCTGAAAAGACAGGCATGGAGAGAGTGCAAGTGCTGCATCCAACAAGAGTCAACAAGCAAACAACGAGCCTAACCTTGTGCTTACTCATCAAGCTCCACACCAGCCCCCACTTGACCAAATCCTTCGATTCCTCCCTCTCCGCCTCCGACTCGATCTTCGGGTCCGCTTCCTCCACGATCGGCGGCGCTCCGGTGACGTAAGCGCGAGCTAATCCGACCGGTTTCGCCTTCAACGAAATCTCCCCGAATGGCGGCGCATTGGAGGGGCCGCGGAGGGAGAGTAAGGGATTCGGTATGCATGTTCTTCTGAGTAGAGATGAATGGCATCGTCTACGAGCGGTGAGTCGAGTAGAGCCGTGGTGGAAGAGAAGAGTGGTTGCAGAGGACGCCATTGATTTATCTCTCTCTCTCTCTCTGTCCAACGAGCTTTGTAACTGCCACTAATTTATATTTATTTAGTGCCTTTAGTTTTGTTATTTGCAGAAAAAGGTCGGAAGTTTTGAAGCTTATCAAGTGAGACCTTTTTTGGGTAAGTTTTGATATTTGTTGAATTTCCTAGAATTTTTGCTCCACATATTTGGCTTATTTATAATAATTCCCGATACTTTTGCTTTTCGTTTGATAGCCCATAACTTTTGCTAATTACTGAAGTGGCCTATATTGTTTCTATTTTGCAGAAATATTCGGGATTTCTGCTGTTCATATAAAAGATTTATAACCTTTTAAAACATGTTTTAAAAATTAATAAAAATTGGATTTAAAAATCTGTATCAATTTATATTTGATTATACAATAGTAGTGGTGGCTTTAATAAACTTAAATTTTGTAATGAATTCACCTTGCGATTTTTTTTTTTTATTTGATAACATTCCAACTCTTTTTTTTTGGCTTAAATTAACATTTCTGCAGCTCTTTCCTCTTCTGTTTTTATTGAAACTAAAATCTATGTGTTGCATACAAAGAGACCAGGATGATCACTATGCTGCACACACACACAAAAATACAAAACCAGGGCGAATTTCTCACACTAAAAAAATAGATCCCCGTAAAAAAATAAAGGTAGAATCCGAAATTTTTATAGTAGAATAACATCACACAAAAGAATTGAAAAAAAAATAATAAATACGAATATTAATTAGTAGCTCCAAAGGTTCATGTCAACATCTCCTTCGAAGTCATCATTATGTCCCCATTGTACGGACGGCGGCGGCAAAAGCATCCCTTCCGCCATATCAGCCCACAACGTCGGCATCCCAAACGCCCACTCCTCGTCCATGTAAAACCCATTGCTCTGCTCCTCCATAACAACACCCTCCTCCGCCATGTTAAACACTTCTCTCTGTTCCTCCGCAACAACAGCCTCCACCATCGTCTCCTCCATGTCCAGGCCATGATCCGTCGTCGTATCATTCACCTCAGCCTGAGAAGCCGTCTCCTCAGTGTTCATGCCATGATAAGTCGTGGTATCACTCTTCTCAGCCTCAAAAGCCAATGCAGCTTCAGCAGCAGCCTTCTGGATATCCTTGGCGCAGGTTGTCTCCGGTATACGGAGCCGCCAAGCCGAGTCGGCGAAGTTGAGGCAGGCCCCTCTTCCGCGGAGAGCTAAGGCCGCGACGTCGTGAGCACGAGCTGCGATCTCGGCTGTTTTGAAAGTTCCGAGCCAAATCCTAGATTTTTTGTTTGGTTCCCTTACTTCACACACCCACTTACCTGATTTTCTAAGGCGAACTCCTCTGTAAATGGGGTGACGTGTCTCTTGAAACTTCTTCCTACCCGCGGGTTTCTTCGGACAGCTAGCCGCCAAAATGGGACAATAATCTCCGCCTGACATAACCGGAGAGCCGTTCTCGGAGCTAAGTATTTCAGAGGAAGCAGAGAATGATGAGCTCATTTTTGAAAACTCCTTTTGAGAAACTGGATAAGGCTGAGTTTAGTAAGTAACAAGATCTCTGTTCTGTCTGGTCTGATAAAATATCTATTTTATCTCTCTCTTTATGTTCCTTTTCAGGTGGAGTTAAAACTTTGTGGTTTGAGAAAAGTGGGAGTGAGGGTTGGTGTTTATATTGGCATGAGATATTTGGAATTGTGTGGGGTATAATTTTAGAAAACACGGTATTTTTTGGCTCTGGGAGTGACAGGTGGACAGGACACCAGCTAAAATGGTCCCACGGTTTTGTGTGAATGCGTTTTTCCTTCACCAATAGGCCGCCACGTGTCATCTTGACATTTTTGGTATGGCTGCTGACTCTTCACTCGTTATACCTTTATTGTGGGAGTGTGTGGCTGTGTTTGTGGTGTGAAGGACAACTCTGTATTTATCCATTAACTTACATGAATAAACAAAATGTCATTATTGATCAACATCAACCATCTAGAAACTAACGGACCTACAGATCTACGAAAAATATATCATAAAGTACTCTATTTGTTTTGAATTGTTATCATATATACGAGGCATTCTCTTAAAAATGTTGTATAATGGAATGGTCACTTTTCCAAGTGTACAAAAACGTTTGTTTTCATATTTTTAGAAGAAAAAACTTAATACATATTTTGTAGCTGCCACGCCCTGAACTAACCGTTTTTGTTTGTCTCCATTTTTTTTAACACATTTTTGTTTGTCTCCATAGAACTTGCCATTAAAGTGTTTGAATTCAACATTTATTTAAATCCAAGTTGGATTCAGTAAGGTGTATGTTCCTTTTTTGTCTTTGTTTTAATGTTCGATCGACTTTATATAACAAACATATTACAGGCCACAGAGCAACCCTGACAATGGTTACGAGTTTCATTTTCCATGACAATGATTGTGAAGGCATGCGTATCCTACGAACAAGTCAGTCTATATCTTATATTAGTTATTACGTACGAAAAAGAATGCTAAGGTACTGAACATAATAAGAACCAAAACACAGACAGAAAAGTAAAGTTTTGTTTGAAACTAGTTAAATGAGTGCACAGATAAGTAAATATGTCTCTTCGTGACATGAAACAGACATTAAACATGGTGAGATCGCGTTGAGGGCTGCAGCCCAAAGACGACTGGCATTAGCTTGAAGCCAAAGTAACTGCTTCTAAGTAATAGAACCCCTGCATCCAGGAGAAATGGACAATAACTCTTTTTAGCTATTCTTTTACAGTATACAACAAAACCCAGATATTCTCTATTCTTTTGGTGCTTGTTAACGATATGGATTATAAAAATATTTATGTAAGGTGCACACAATATGGATTCGTTCTGAAGCCAGATTGAAATGTGACATTCTATTGTGTGTTGTCCCTTATCCCCAGCCAGATATTTCTTGAAGTACCAAGTTGGTGTAATATAATAAAATAAATAGTAGTTGACATATTGTACCTAACTACAAATGAAGCTAATTTCGTCTTAATCCAGGGATGACCGATGCATTGGCAAGATATACTTTTCTTTTCTGAGAAAAAAACATTGGCAATATACACGTCACGCTCAAATATCGATTTTAATATCAATAAAATATCTCTTTTGTTTTATCAAATATCTATAAAATATATCAAATGAAATCTCAATATTATCTATTCAACAAATAAACTTGTGGTTTCTATCTAACCACGTGGGTGCAGGATATGTCTTTAATAAAACAAAAACAAAAAAAAGTAACTCGATAAAGAGTATCTTTTCTAACAAATATTCGTTTACAAAAAAAAAGACGTCTCTCTCATCGCCAGACCCGCCACTTACTTTCAAATCTCTCCCATCACTACTATTTGATTTGAGTGTAGACACCTTCAGAGAAAAACAAGACGACAAACATAAAAGGCAAAAACTAGTGGTGCTGAAAAAAATGACACAAGCAAATGATTTTCTTAACAAGCAAGTAAGAGCAGCCTCAACGCTGAGCTTTAATTGCGTCTTTTAGCATTAAGTTTCCTAAAAAAAAAGAAAAAATGGATTAATTACTTGAAGACGTGCTCTAATTAGGAGAAACAAAACACCGTCTTTAATGCCACGTGTTGTGTCGTGGTAGAACCAAAGTTAATTCGTGTCTCTCTCCCTTCTCTCATTTCGACCAAAAATATTTCATCTCTCCATCTCCCCTCGACGACTCCGACAGCGATTCATGTTGTTCTCAACCATCTGATGATCGATTCGGCTTCTTTGTCGTCGGAGTCATAGTCTCCATCGGTTGAATCGTCGTATCTCTCCCTCCTCGACAACTCCTCGACAACTCCGCGGCTTCTCTCCGACTTCGACGATTCCTAGTCTCTTGGTCGCCTCGACGAGTCGCTCTCACTCTCGTAGACGACTCACCTATTTGAAGAATCACTCGACGTCTCTCTCCGGGTCGTTGCTCTCTTCGAAGACATCAAATCAAAAGGTAGAGCTATGTATTTTCCCTATTGGTAGAGATCGGATTAGATGTTGATTTCAGTGATAACGATTAGATTAGGTTAGATGAGGTATGTCTGAGGAAAACAATGATGCCTTTTGATAGTGATCAGATTAGTTTAGATGTAGAACTGAGTTTAGATGAGGTGTGTATTTGATGTTCAGATTAAGTCTGAATCCTTCTATAGTATTGCGTTTGAATATGTCATTGTTAGAACAGATGATGATGGTCAGAATTGCGTTTGAACTTCTGATTAGTTATTTGATGTATTTGATGTTCTTATGTCTCGTGATTAATATGGATAAACTTCTGATTAGTTATGTTTTGTCTCTGTCTTTCATTCTTTAGATGGACCAAGCAAGTCAAATGACTCACGAGGAAGAGGACTGCAATACAGGTATATTTTTTTCTGGTCTTAATGAGTTAATGAGTTAGCTAAATGTCTACTCGATGTGGTTAATGAAATGAATTGCCATAATATTTATGTTTATATTTTTGGATTGCTTTCCAATTAGATTAATGAGTTAGATAGCAGCAATCAATGTTAAATTAATGAGTTAGCTAAATGTCGAGTCAATGTGGTTAATGAAATGAATTGCCATAATATTTATGTTTATATTTTGGATTGATTTCCAATTAGATTAATGAGTTAGATAGCAGCAATCAATGTTAGATTAATGAGTTAGCTAAATGTCGAGTCAATGTGGGTGGGGAGATGATTAAAGCGGTATTCAACTGAGTCCTATTAAACAGAGTGCTTCTTCTCTCTTTCTCTATCAAACTCGTTTCCCTTTACATTTAACATTACTGCTTTTTCATCTCTCTTCCTCAACATTGTTGACATGGATTCCAATCCATATATGAATCTAAACTTTGTTGATCTTCTTCAAACTCAACAGGATACTGGCATCGGTTCACAATCCTCTCCCATTCCCTTGTTTGGCACACAAGCAACTGAGGCTTCGAACTACGACCCAGACAGTCCTGTGGAGCCTAAAGAACGCCGCACGTGGACTACAACTGAAGAGATAGTCCTTATCAGCGCTTGGTTAAACACCTCTAAGGATCCAATCGTGTCAAATGAGCAAAAGGGTGTTGCTTTCTGGACAAGGGTAGCAGCCTACTTCAATGCTAGTCCCAAGATCGCTGCGTGTGACAGAAGAGAGGGACCTGCGTGCAAGCAAAAGTGGCACAAGATTAACGAATTAGTGGGCAAGTTTTGTGGAGCATTTGCAGCTGCAACCCGTGAGAGAACCAGTGGGCAAAGCGATGATAATGTTCTATCACGTGCCCACACAATCTTCAAGAACAACTACAATAGGAAATTCACACTAGATCATGCTTGGAGAGAGCTTAGAAATGACCAAAAATGGTGTGGTATTACTTCGGGTTGCTCTCAAGGAAGTTCCAAAAAGAGGAATCTTGAGGACGGTTCGAACTCAGTATGTTCTCAAGGTGATGAAGGAACAAGTCGTCCTATTGGTGTTAAGGCATCAAAAGCCCGTGGGAAGAAACCGGTGGAGGAGTTAGAAGTGAGTCAGTTTACTACAATGTGGACAATGAAGGAAAAGGACTTGGCGGGGAAAGAGAAGGTGTCGAAGTTAAAGCTCCTCGAGAGGCTTCTTGCTAAACGTGAGCCTCTACCTGATTACGAAGAAGCTATGAAGAGGAGCTTAATTAAGGAGTTGTTCCCTGCTTAGTTTCAAGGTAATGGAACAACAACATTCGTAGATATTTTTTATGTTTATAATTTTAATTACATGTTTATCTTTGACTTGTCTTAATGCAGGTAAGAAGCAGTGGAGTGAGAGTGATGTTTCAGATGTTGCATTGATCTTTTTATGTCACGGATTCAAAGTAGTCTTGCATTTTGGTTTTTGTGTCACGGATTCAAAGTAGGTGTGTTGCTTGTAGTGTCTGGTAGTGTCACGGAAAAGGCAGGTGTGTTGCTTGTAGTGTCTGGTAGTGTCACGGTAAAGGCAGGTGTGTTTCTTGTACTTGTCTTGTAGTGTCTTGTGAACAAGTGTGTTGCTTGTAGTGTCCTATATTGTCGAATGTGTCACGGGTGTGTAATGTATAATATAAATTAAATGTTGTTGCAATTTGTTTATGGTTCTCTTTATATACATATCTCTCTACACCAAATTCCACCAAACTCTTCTTCTCTTTTCATTATTCTCTCAGTTACAAAAGAAAGCCAAAACAACCTCTTCTTTGCTCTTTCTCGTAACAAAAACAAAACAAAACATAACCAAAACATAACCAAAACAACCTTTTCTTTCCTCCTCTTTGATCGTCATAAAACCAAAACAAACATAACCAAAAAAACCTCTACTTTCCTCCTCTTTGATTGTCCTAAAACCAAAACAAACATAACCAAGCTTTTGATCAAGCTTTTGATCGTCATAAAACCCATATATGGCTTCTTTATCTCAATACCCTCAAGAATATTTTAATGATTCATCCGATGATACATCCGATGATACATTAGATGAAGCTTTTGATCAAGCTTTTGATCAAGCTTTTGATCAAGCTTTTGAAAATTGTATCGTTCGTGCTGCTCAAGAAAAACGAAGGAAGAAGAAACAAAAACGAGCTTATATCGAAAGAAATCGGGAAGAAGGCAATGTACGTTTATGGAATGATTATTTCAGTGAATCTCCGACGTATCCTGCAAATTTTTTCCGTCGACGTTTTAGAATGAACAAGCCATTGTTCACGTACATTGTTGATCGTCTCTCCAATGAAGTTGAATTCTTTCGTCAAAAATTAGATGCTCTCGGAAGGGTTAGTCTCTCACCAATTCAGAAATGTACAGCAGCCATTCGTGTCTTGGCATATGGTAGTGCGGCTGATGCGGTCGACGAATATCTCCGGCTCGCTGAAACTACAACTCGGTCTTGTTTGGAGAATTTTGTGGAAGGAATAATTTCTATATTTGGCGATGAGTACTTAAGAAGACCAACTCCTGCTGATCTTCAACGTCTACTTTATATCGGAGAACAACGTGGATTTCCGGGGATGATAGGAAGCATTGATTGTATGCATTGGGAGTGGAAGAATTGTCCCACCGCTTGGAAAGGGCAATATTCTCGAGGTTCGGGTAAACCAACAATCGTTTTAGAGGCGGTTGCGTCATATGATCTCTGGATATGGCATGCATTTTTTGGAGCTCCAGGTACCTTAAATGATATCAATGTTCTTGATCGCTCACCTGTTTTTGATGACATAATAAATGGTCAAGCTCCGCAAGTCACTTACTTTGTCAACGGAAGGAAGTATAATATGGCTTACTATCTCACTGATGGCATTTATCCGAAATGGGCTACTTTTATCCAATCTATTCCACTGCCACAAGTGCCGAAAGCGGTTTTATTTGCTCAACATCAAGAAGCGGTCCGAAAAGATGTCGAGCGTGCGTTTGGAGTCTTGCAAGCTCGATTTGCCATTGTTAAAAATCCGGCACTTTTTTGGGATAAAGGCAAAATTGGGAAGATTATCAGAGCTTGTATCATACTCCATAATATGATAGTAGAAGACGAACGCGATGGATACACTCAGTATGATGTCTCAGAGTTTCAACAAGGAGAAGACAACGGAAGTTCACATGTCGATCTCACGTATTCTACAGATATGCCTACAAATATCGCCAATAGGATGGGTGTTCGAACAACAATTCGTGATGTACAGAGGCATCAACAACTGAAAGATGATTTGGTTGAACATGTATGGCGTAAATTTGGACGTAATGAAGGCAACAACTGAATTCGGATGCTTCTATCGAATTATTATCGGATGTTTGTTTTGATGTTTTTTTTTTCACTAATCTTTGTTTTGATGTTTTTTTTTTAAAATCTATGTTTAAAATGTTATCTTTTACTATGTTTTAGTAAAACTTTTAAGTTTAATAAAACAAAAAATTATATATAAAGTTTAGTAAAAAAAACAAAATAAGAACCCTAATAAATAAGAGACCCGCATTGGAGCCCGTCAATTTGCGGATCTCTTCTACCGGTCTCTTAAATCACTTTTACAATAAATATGTATTAAAAAACAAATAGGATACCCATTTGGGGTATATGGGTTGAGGGTGCTCTAAGGCTTGAAGGTGACGTGATAGTGAGCTCAGTAGGGCACCAGTGCAAGGGAAAGGGATGTGTTTCCGCTATTACACACGGTTTAGGATATTTTGACGGGCCCATAGCTCTCTTATGGGACCCATCTTTCTGTTTTTGGAATACCGTTTTGGTCTCTATTAAATTCGTGGTTTGCTGAGAGCGGTTGCTTCAGTTATGTATTCCATTTTCGGAAACCTCTTTTGACAAATGTTTCATTGAGACCAGTCGCCTTGTCACTCGACCGAGAGTCTATTTAAATAAGGGTCCGAGGATCATCTTTAAACTTTTCGAAGATATTCTTCAGAGTTACAAGATTGAAAAAGAGAAAATAATATACAAATATAATATAATCTAAGAGAATCGAGGCCTAATATCGTTTCTATGTACAGAAATGTTATTCACAAAAGATTTATAACCTTTTACAATATGCTTTTTAATTAATATCTTGGCTTTCAACATCTGTAAAATGCTATATTTGAATAAAGAATATTTATACAAATCACTTTAAACTTTACACTAAATCTACCGTTTTTAACTAATATAACATTCTGTCTCTTTACTCTTCTACTTTTTATTTAAACTAAAATCTCTTTGTTACATATAAAGAGACCAAGATGATTATGTTGCACACCAGAAAAAAATACTCAGCATTTTCACAACACCTACACTCGTTTCCCACACTAAAGAAAAGATCCCCATAAAAAAGATAAAGGTATAGAATCAGAACTTTTATTAAATATCATCATTCAAAAAATGTGCATATTAATAACTCCAAAGGTTCATGTCAGCATCTCCTTCGAACTCATCATTATGTCCCCATTGTACGGACGGCGGCGGCAATAGCATCCCTGCCGCCATATCAGCCAACAAAGTCGGCATCCCGAACGTCCACTCTTCGTCCATGTAAAACCCGTTGCTCTGCTCCCCGGTAACAACACCCTCCACCGTCGTCTCCTTCCCCATGTTAAACACTTCTCTTTGTTCCTCCCTGAAAACAGCCTCCACCATCGTCTCCTCCATGTCCACGCCATGATCCGTCGTCGTTTCATTCACCTCACCCTGAGAAGCCACCACCGTAGTCTCCTCAGTGTTCATTCCATGATCCTTCGCCGTGTTATCACTCTTCTCAGCCTCAAAAGCCAATGCAGCTTCAGCAGCAGCCTTCTGGATAGCCTTGGCGCAGGTTGTCTCCGGTATACGGAGCCGCCAAGCCGAGTCGGCGAAGTTGAGGCAGGCGCCTCTTCCACGGAGGGCTAAGGCCGCAACGTCATGAGCACGAGCTGCCATCTCAGCTGTTTTGAACGTTCCAAGCCAAATTCTAGATTTCTTGTTAGGTTCCCTAACTTCACACACCCACTTACCTGAGTTTCTCAAACGAACTCCTCTGTAAATAGGGTGACGTGTCTCCCGAAACTTCTTCCTACCCGCAGGTTTCTTCGGACAGCTAGCCGCCAAAATGGGACAATAATCAACTCCAACTGTAGTAACCGGAGACTCGTTCTCGGAGCCAAGCAATTCAGTGGAAGCAGGGACTGAGTTCATTGTTGAAAACTCTTTTTGAACAAAAAAAAAAACTGGACAAGTCTGAGTACGGTAAGTAACTAACTAACAAGATCTTTGTTCTGTCTGGTCTTGATAAAATATCTGTTTTATCTTCCTCTTTATGTTCCTTTTCAGGTGGATTTTAAAAGTTTGTGGTTTGAGAAAAGTGGGAGTGAAATTTGGTGTTTATATTGGCCCGAAATATTTGGAACTGTGTGGGGTATAACACGGTGTTTATTGGCGCTGGGAGTGACAGGTGGACATAACACAGCTAAGTGATCCCACGGTTTTGTGAATGCGCTGTTTTCATTCATTCATAGGCCACCACGTGGAATATTGACCTTTTTGATATGGCTTTTTGACTCTTCACTCGTTATACCTTTATGGGAGTTTTTAACTTTTATTGTGCGAGTGTGTGGCTGTGTTTGTTTTGTGTATTTATCTATTATCTTCAATGAATAAACAAAATTTCATTATTGATCAACCATCTAGAAACATAAAAGATCTAAAAGATCTGCGAGGAAGATAGTGTAACTCATTTATTTTGATATAAAGCATATTCTTTTTGGTATGTTATATAGTAGACACTTTTAATTTGTGAAGCACTTTTTACAGTATACAAAAAGGTTTATTTATTTTCATATTTGTAGGATAAATAACCCTGATCATCTTATACCTCGCAGTAGATAATAACATGGCACGTCCTAAACCTACCGTTTTGTTTGTCGCGCCACAGAACCATCCATTAAGTGTATAAATTCAAGTTTATTCAAGTAAATTAACTCGTCGCATTCAAAGTCACCATATGAACTACTACGAATTTTTTTACCAAAGAGAGGTGATGATGGAGAGGGAAGTCGTCGACAAATTAGGTTTTTGTGGAGACGAGATAAAATAGAAAGAGGTTGAGCTTACGATATGTAATTAAAGTTTGGTTTGGATTAAAGAAAGATAGTTTCGATAAATTACCTTCGGAAGTGTGTAGTGTGCCCTACTCATATGATTATCTCAGTTTTTTTTTTCTGTAAGCGATTTTTATAATTCCTTTTGTTGCTCTCTATGTATTTTTCCTTCCCTTAGCATCTTGTACATTTCAATTCATTAGTACAGTTTTTTATAAGACTCTAAGCCAACATCCAGAACATGAAAAAGGAAAAAAACAATTGAAGAATATAATGTCATGGTGATAATCCAGCGATTGGATTTAACGTCGATGTCCACTTTAATCTTTAAAAATGGGCGTTGACAAAAAAAATATATATAAAGTCATGTTTTAAAACATTTGTTCACTATGACTTGTGTTTGCATTGATATTAAGTTCGGTGAGAGTAACAAAAATATTTATGGAAAGTTATTCATCAAAATTCGATAAGAATTGTGTTACAAAATACATTAACATATAAATGAAAGTTGTAATTTTTTATAATTAAAATAAACATAAATGTAAGTAATATGTTTGTGCATCAGTGTCATGAACTTCCTAAATTAATATATTGGCAAATCTTTACAGCATTTTACTTCAAATAGACTTTCAACCTGGTGAGATAGCACTTGAAGGCTGCATCCTAGAAAACGACTAGCCATTTAAAGTGGATCTAATGACGTTATCTTGAAGCCAAATGATTGTTTAAGTGGTAGAACCCTATGTGTAATGATCAATATATAGCTCTTTAGTTTTTCTTTTACAGTATACATTGTAAAACCACATGTCTCTAACCTTTTTGGCACTTATATTTATAAAAATAATTTTATAAGGTACACACAATATGGATTTTGAAGCTCAGATAAAAGATGTATTCCAGTACTGTTTGTTTGTCGCTTATCCCCAGTCAGATGTTTCTTAAAGTGCTAAGTTGGTGTAATATACGAAAATAAATAGTATTAGACATATTGTACAAATAAAGCTAGTTTCGTCTGAAGCTATGGATGAGACCGATATATTATCAAGTTATATGTCACTCTCAGAACTAGATTATATCAATACCTCCTGTTTGGTCAAATATCGGTTAAAATATCTCGGGTTTGACGATATATTTCCCCCTGAGAAGTATCATATATCACTAGATACACACAGACTTTTGACCTCGTTCTATTTCCCCACAAAATAGAAGTTCGAATCCTATATCCCCCAGTTACAAAGATCGAACTCTATTTCTCCATACCGTCAAAGTTAAACACCGCAATACACATAGATTTAAATTTATGCCGGTTTACTGTTTATCATTAAACCGTAATGTATCGTTACCCAATGAAAACCGCGATTTAACAAAAAAATCCATTTAAGATCCGATTAAAACCCGATTAATACCCGATTATAATTCAATAGGTTTAACCCGAATACAGAAATCCCCAAATCCCCAGTGTTCTTCATTGACAAACAAACCCTAGAAAGAGAGAAATAGAGGCGACGACGATTTCTCCCAAAAACGAAGGCTTTACCAGTCGATTTCAGTTGATTACAAGTTGAAACAATGGAGACGGTTGGTGAAAACACGATTCATTCACTTAGGGATGAATCAGACGACGAAGAAGAGATGGAGAAGTGAAAACACGATTCCTTGACTCATCTTTCAATTTCTCTAATCTTTCCCAGAAATCAATTTCCCTAATTTGATTTTTTTTAGGGTTCGTACTTTAGAAATTGAGATTTTTAAAGACTAGGATCAGCTGAAGTTCAGGTTTTCGGATGGGTTTGGTTATTTTATTTTGGTTCCATACTAGTTCACCCAAGTAAACCATTAAATTCGACGGTATGGGGAAATAGAGTTCGATTTTTGTAATTGGGGAGATATAGGATTCAAACTTCTATTTTGTGGGGAAATAGAACGAGGTCAAAAGTCTGTGTGTATCTAGTGATATATGATACTTCACATGGGGAAATAGATCGTCCACCCAAATATCTCAAATCTATCTATGAAAAACTTGTGGTTTAAATTCATTCACGTGGGTGTAAGTAGGCCGTTACAATCAGAGGTTCAATCAACGTACAAAAACAATAATAATATCTCAACATAGAGTATCTTTTCTAACATATATTCGCTTACAAAAAACGTCACTCTCGTCGCCCCTCACTCTCAACTCTAACACGTTACTCACTATTGAGTATAGAGACACCTTCGGAGAAAAAAACAAGACGACAAACATAAAGCGCAAAAAGTAGTGGTGATGAAAAGATGTCACAAGAAAATGTATTCCTTAAGAAGAAAGTAAAGGCTTGAAAGTGACGTGATAATGGGGCTACGTAGGGCATGGGAAAGGTAGGCTCGTAGGGACAGTGTGTTCCGCTGTTAAGCCACGGTTTGGATATCTCGACCGGGCCTACGAGCTCTCTTGTGGAACCCATCTTTCTGTTTTTGGAATAACGTTTTGGTCTCTGTTCACTTCGCGGTTTGATTAAAGCGGTTGGTTTGGTTATATATTCCATTTTCGGAAACCACTTTTGATAAATATTTTTTAAGGCCACACACACTCGCCATGTCACTCATCCGAGAGTCTACTTAGATAAAGGTCCAAGGATCATCTTACACTTTTCGAAGATATTCTTAAAAGTTACAAGTTTGAAAAGAAAACAGAAAATAGTAATTTCAAAACTGATAATAGTTACATAGTTACTTTATTTAGAGTAAGTATCAATTATAATAAACTGATAATAGTTACATAGTTACTTTATTTAGAGTAAGTATCAATTATAATATTTGCAGATTCTTATCAGTTTATTTTCAAACTTGTAATACAAAGAGTATTCAAATAAACATAAACTTGCAATTGCTTTTTTTTTTACCAAAGGTCCAAAGGCCAAACTTCCAAATACTTGCTAACTGAAACCAAGTTTTAATTTATTTTATAACAAGATATGAGCCCGTTACGTTGCAACATATCTTGTTTAATGTTTTAATTTAATAGAAACATAAAATAATAAATCATTTATCATAGTTTATGCTTGTTTTTTTTTTTTTTGCAGTGTGAGATATTATTATATAATTAAAAACCCATTTCCACACATGAGTTCAAGTTAATATTTATATTGTATAATCATGGTGCATAGATGAATTATTATAAAATTTCTACTTAAAATTAGAAAAAATGTTATACCTAAACGTTTAAACTGAACACAACCCGAAATAAGAAATTGAATGAAAAGTAAAAAGGAGATGAAAGTCAAATACGCCAATCTAGTCAATGACAACATTATACATGTTCTTATGTACTAATTTAATATTTTATTAAATAAATTTTAAATATTTTTTTTTGTTAGGATTTTTTTTTTAAATAAAACATTCTATTTTATAATTCTCCTTTTTATTCACCAACATTTAAGTAAAATATTAAATATTCGCTTACATTTTAGCTTAAGATTTTTAAAAAGAAAAATTACTGTCATATAACCTTTTACAATTATCTTTTCTTTAGAAAATTTTCAAAAAATAAACTGCTATAAAATAAGTATTTTAGTTATTAATAAATAATTTTAAAATTACTAAGAAATAATTTTAAAACGACTATTTTTACAATTGGTATCAATACGAATTTTACACTTCGTTTGTTAATTAAATAATTTCTAATATATGTTCTTCAACAAATACTCTCTAAAATATTATCAAATAAATAATTACAATTATATTTTGGTTAGGATTTAAAAATATGATACAAATTTCTTTTGTTTAGAATTTTATTTATAAAAAAAGAAAACAACTATCAAATATTCTCTTACAGTTTTTTTTTAGGATTTTAGAAAAGGATTTTAATATTACATAATACTTTACCATTATATTTTGTCTAGGATTTAGAAAAATCATTTTATATAAAACAATTATTTCCAGTTAATATTAACTATTTTTAAAAGTGGCCATTTTCCAAATTCGTTTTTTTTCAGTATCACTAATATGTTTTTTCAATTTTTTTTGCTAATTAAATAATTGATAGTATCATGTTTATCATTATTTTTTAAAAGTAAAAATCACTATTAAATATTTTTACACTTCTCTCTTGTCCGGATTTATAAAAAAAAAAGAAAAAAAATTCTTCTTTGGTTAAGATTTTTTTTTTTTTTTAGAAATCTATTTTATTTAGGATTTTAGGAAAAAAAAAAGAAGAAGTTATTTTCACACAATGACAGTTTTTATTGACACATTCACCATATAATTCTGTAATTGACCTATGTCACATTCATATCAGGTGGAATATTTGAATTTATTTTTGGTTTATATTTTTAACACAAAATTATTAAAAAAGTAAACTCAGTTAATTATAATAAAATTAAGATCACTTTTACATTTTATCTTTAGACTTGAAAAAAGGAAAGTTAATTATTTTATAATTAGTTTTTCTTTAAGATTTTTATACAACTATTTCATTTTTAATAGAAAATTTTCTGTTTAATTATTTATATATTTGTTCTTATACATACAAACACATATTCATCATATTCACACATACTCATGTACTACAACAACATCAGAATTAAAAGTTATGTTAGCATCATAAGATGTAATAAGGATAAAAAAAAGTTGAGTTGTATCATGAAATTAAAAGAAAATACTCAGGTAATACTTTTCATGTAAAGACTATTGTGTTTTATAAAAATAATATGTGGAAGCTTAAACTTAAATATAGATTTGAAATATGAAATATTTGTAGCAATTTTTGGTCATATTTTTTAACATACAATTATCTATTAAAAAGGAAAGTTAGTTACTTATAAGAAAATAACTAGTTTTTGACATGTGCACCCGCACATATGTATTTTCTGTATAACTATATGTTTTTCTTATTTGTAAAAATATTTCTTTTTATGTTTCACATGTTATTTAGTTATGGTGTCGGTGTATCTTATTCATTTTGTTTAGCGTATTTTCTCTAACTATCAAGTTGTATTTTTTTTGATATCGTACCTTTCTTACTTGGTAAACTATACAACTAAGTGTAAAATATTAGAATATCTTATTTAGATTGTGTGTATTTTATGGAATACACAATAATTTTTTTGATTGCCATTATAATTTAAAATTATATTTTATATATATTATTTTGAAAAGAAATTATTCAGACAACAAATTAGTGAACTTTAAACCTATATTGAAGCCCATATAAGAGAAAAACTACAGTGTTTTTATTGCAACTAGATTTTAATCCGCGCGTCCGCACGGATATGTTTTGTTTTTATAATTATTTTTATTTAATTTTTATGATAAATTGATCAAATATATTATGAAAATTTGGTGTTTTATATTATGTCACTTAATATGTCTTGCTCGATATTATTAATATATAATTATATATTTTATTCATTCTTATTAAAAACATATCTTAAAATATAAAATTTTATTTCTATTTGAACATTTTTTCTTTAAAATTAAAATAGATATAATTATATAAGAATCAAATTAGAATATTTTATTTGTTTAACCCGTTTTGTGAAGTTTTTGATGTTTTCTAATGAAAATGAATTAGATTTTGTTTATATTTCTTATGGGTCAACATTTATTTTTGTTATTTTGTTATTTAGTTAAGTTATAGTTATTTAATTTAATTTACAAACAGAAAACATCAACTGTAAATTAAAAAAATATATGATTCAATAATTTATTTTTTAACTTTTCTAATTTATTTTTCTTAAACTTTATTTCCTATATATTTAAATTTAGAAATTTAAATAATATTTTATAAAAATAATTATTGGTTTGATTTAAAATTTAAATAATATTTCTTTGTAATATTTTAGTAATAATAACGAATTTAATGTACTATTTAAAATTAATTATCAAAAGATCCTATAAGATTTTCTTAAAGTAAAATAACAAATATTCAAAAATAAATAGTGTTATAGTCAAATATTCTTATGTGTGATAGTATATCTTATTCAAATGATCTAATATATAAATATTATTTATGATACAAAAAAAATACTTATGAAATGGTCCAATGACTTTTTATTAGTGATAAAAATAAGACTCTATTTTAATAAATTAGATTCTAGAATATGACCAAATTTAAATGACAACTTTAACACAATAGATAAAAATTAAGACTCTATTTTAATAGAGTAGATGACATTCTATTGTAATTTTCGAGGAAACTAATGGTTATTTCTTTTTTGTACTCCCTCTTTAATAGTTTAGATAAAAGTACTTTTTACAGTTTTCTTTTATTTATGCTTTTGAAAAAAGAATATTATTTATTTTAATTTTTTTTTCTTAATGTTTTTTATTCAATAATGTATTGTACTTGTAGAATTTTACAATTCGTTTTTGTTTTACTTTTTTCACAGAAGTTAAAATTTATCTCTCAAACAAATAATATAATTTATTTTTTAAATCTAATTACTTTTTAATAGATTTTTACAGTTATTTTTTTGTAGACTTAAAAAATTACTATCAAATATTTTAACAATATAGAACTGTAAAGACTATGTAATAGTAATTTGTCGTTTCTAAAATTTTTAAAAGAACTGTAAAAGACTATTTTGTAATGAAAATGTTATTTTTCTAAATTTCTTTTAAATCAACAAAAGAGAATTGTATCATATTTTGTACACATGTCAAAATTGTTTTTTAAATAACAATAAAATTATTTCCTTTTTACAGTTATTTTTGTTTAGATTTAAAAAATGTAAATTAATATCAAATATTTTTAATAATATATAATGTAAAATACTATGTAATAATAATTTTCTTTTTTTTTTTAAATTCTAAAAGAACTTTAAAATACTATTTCTGTAATGAGAATACTTTAAAATACTATTTTTGTAATGAGAATTTTTCCTTTTTGAAATCTATTTTAAATCCTAAACAGAAGAGAATCATAACATATTTTGACATATGTCACTATCTTAAAAAATTTCTGATACGGAGTAGTGTTAATTAGCAATTTTTAAAAATCAAAAACTCTATATAATAAGATGTATCATCATCAACCTATATTCTTGATGTTCTTGTACATAAACAAAACTGGTTAACTTAAATATCCCAGATGTTTTTTTTATATCACTAAGAGAGAACAAGGTTCGTCGAAACGAAAAAATGATACAAAAGACATAAAAAAGACAAAGAAATAAGATGTCAGAAGACACCATCAAAGAGGGAAAAGAAGAGGAGCTTACAAATCCTTTCTTACACTGCCTCCAAAGCGAGTAAATGATGAAGTCACGATGGAGCCTTCCGGGCGATATACGACTGGTGGCGCCTATCTCGAGTGATAGAGAGAGCAATAGCCGCTGTAGCTTCGTTTTTTTGTGGAAAAACATGATCCAAACTCGATGAATCTATTTTTGTCAAAAGCCAAAGGATGTTGTGACAGATGTGGCTGAGGCTGAGATTTCCATTTGGATTCATGCAAGCATTATGTTAAATATCCCAGATGTTATCCCACCTTTATTTTTATACGCATTTTTATGGAAATAATTATAACCTAAAATTAGTTTAATTTTTTTTTTTGTAGAAAAGAAAGTTTCAATTTGTTTGATATAAAAATGTTATGTTGAGTTGGGCTTTTAATGAACTTTTTAACAGTTTGGCCCAATTACTGATAAAGATCTAAAAGTTATAATATATCTTATCTACACTGTTTCACTTTCAACGCCTCACGAGACACACCACAAAAATATCTAAGAGCTTCTTCTAGGGCTTCGAGGCGACAACAGCTTCCAACTAGTTCACTTTTATCACTGCACAGGTAAATTGTTTGATATCATCTGTAGTTTATGATTCTCAGAGATCTTGGATCTGATCTGTTTGCTCTTTCAGGGTGAAAAGTAGAACGAAGAAGTTTGTTGATCTCGTGTTTTTTTTTTTAAATCTTTTGTTAGATGAATTGCTTCAATGGTCTCTCTGTTTTTTTAAAGAAAATGTTTTTAGTGTTAAAGACTAATACTTTACTTTCTTGTTCTCGTTTGGAATCCATTTGTGAGTTATTTCAGATCTGAGGTTTTGCCACTTAGATTAGATATGTTTTGCATGTTTTATCTGTGGTCCTTTTGTTTCTAATGTTCTTGTCGTTAATTGCCTGAATTTGAGCAGGAATTGTAAAAATTTGTAAGTGTTGATGCAAATTGATGTCACTAGTTTTTTTTTCCCTTTGTTTGAATATATGTATCAACTTAGTTGTGTGAAGTCCTTGTTTTGGTGCTTTGGTGTTGTGAGGAAGCCTCATGAATCTTTTTTTTTTTTTTTTGGTTCATGGTGACTGCAGGAAACATGAAGCCAGTCTTCTGTGGGAACTTTGAGTATGATGCGCGTGAGGGTGATCTTGAAAGGCTATTCAGGAAATACGGAAGGGTTGAAAGAGTTGATATGAAAGCTGGTAAGCCCCTTTTCTTTCTTTCTTTCTTTCTTTCTTTCTGCTTTTGTGCAAGTTATCTTTGTGGTCGACTTCGATGAACAACAAGCAGTCTCGTAAAACCACCACTAAGTGCCATGTGATGAAAGCAAAACTTCAAATGCAATGTCGTCAAACCCACTTCCACGTTCATTCCACGATAGGGCTATTGAAGAGATCCATTTCCTCCACCACATCTCAACCAAACAGAGAGTTCATCGACACAGCGTGCTGAAAGTTTGCAAAATACTTGAGAAGAGAGATTGAAATAATAGTGTAAAACCGCCAATTCTCAGCGTTTTCTTTGGCGCAGGATGTTTCATACTCCCACCAGACCATGGATGGACCTTAAGGAAATTCCATCTCATTGTCCCCCCCAAAACGAGTCTCACTTTCCATCCACAATGACATTGCCATCTTAACCTCTGCATATCATTCTTCATCGCATTCCACTCTTGGGCACATGCCTCTTGGAAACATATTCATTCACATCCTGTCTGACTTCCACATTTTCACTTCTTCCTACATATTATATTCCATAATGCAAGGTCTGTAACTGCTTCACTGGTCATTTAGTTTGCAGAGTTTTTTAGCCGCTGTGGCTGTTCAAAATTATCTGTTCTACTAAGTAAAGGATATTTGATGCTACTGACCGCTGAAGAACGGAGGACAGTCTTCCTGTTTCGCTGGAGGTTCTTAACTTTTCTCACTATTCATGTACTCATTCTTTGGATTTTTTTCTTCAGGGTTTGCGTTCATATACATGGAAGATGAGAGGGATGCTGAAGATGCCATCCGAGCTCTTGACCGCTTTGAATTTGGACGTAAGGGTCGCAGACTCCGTGTTGAGTGGACAAAGGTAGGTTCGTTAATCTCTTTTCAGACTTAGTTATGCTGTTTGACATTGATTACCTTAATGTTTCTGTGTTTAGGGTGAGCGTGGAGGTGATAGAAGATCTGGTGGTGGTTCAAGGAGATCCTCATCTATGAGACCTTCCAAGACTCTGTTTGTGATAAACTTTGACGCGGATAATACAAGGACCCGGGATCTAGAGAGACACTTTGAACCATATGGCAAAATTGTGAACGTTAGGATCAGGAGAAACTTTGCATTTATCCAATACGAAGAACAAGAGGATGCCACTAGAGCACTTGATGCTACAAATAACAGGTAGGTTTGTTCCTGTCCAGTTCATTAACTATGTATTCTCATTATTAAGTTAAGACTAGCATTCTGTGTGTGTTTTCATCCAGTAAGCTGATGGATAAGGTGATCTCGGTGGAGTATGCAATGAAGGATGATGATGCAAGAGGGAACGGACACAGTCCCGAAAGACGCCGTGATAGGTCACCAGAAAGGAGAAGACGATCACCTAGTCCTTACAAAAGAGAAAGAGGGAGCCCTGACTACGGCCGAGGAGCTAGCCCCGTTGCTGCTTACAAAAGGGAAAGGACCAGTCCTGACTATGGCAGAAGACGTAGTCCAAGTCCTTACAAGAGAACAAGGCGTAGTAGTCCCGAGTATGGTCGCGACCGCCAAAGAGGCGTTGAGAGCCCTCGGAGGAGGGAAAGAGTTGCAAGTCCCAGGTACAGCCGCAGTCCCGATGGCAAGAGAGAGAGGCTGAGCCCTGATCACAGCCCGTTTAAGAAGGAAAGCTCGAAGAATGGTGGTGGTGAAGTTGATAGCCCAAAGGATAGGAGGGAGAGATCAAGGTCTAGCCCTGAGAATGGTCAAGTTGAGAGCCCTGGCTCTATTGGGAGAAGGGACAGTGATGGTGGCTATGATGGTGCAGAAAGCCCGATGCAGAAGAGGTAAGATGGTCAAAGTTAGTTCTGTTACCTGTTCATATTACTAAACTAATGATTGTTTCTTTTTGTTTGTTTTACATTTAACAGCCGTTCTCGTTCGCCTTTAGCTGAAGAGTGAAGGAAAGTGGATCCAACCATCTCTAGCAAAGCAGGATGTTGTAACTGTTCTGTAGTCAAACTCTGTGTGTCATTATTAGTTTCTTTGCCTTTTGATTGATACATTCGAACTCGGATCTCTTGTTTTGTCGGATTGAAACACTCTTATTGTGTGCTTAAAATGTGTCGTGTTACTGAATTATTCGTTTATAATCGTATCTCAGTTGGAGACCAGCCATGAACAAAAAATATGGTATGCTTCAAAACGCATGAGGGTGTTGAGAAATAGTTTTAATTGTATAACTAGATCATAACTCGCCCGACTGGGCGGGTCTTTATTTTTATGGTATATATAAACATTTCAAAAAATACAATCTAATGGTTCCAATTTTACTAAGTAATTAGGTGATTTTCCCGTGCTCATGCACGGACATAAATATTTATAAAATAAACATATTATAATGTTTATTGATATTTACTTTAACTTTTATATTAATTCATAGCTTTTATGTATAATTTAAATTAATAATATTACATTAATTTAGTAATATATAATTTTAGATATATTATATTTAGTCAGTTTTATCATTTGGATATATATATTGGATTATATATATTTCTCTGAATTCAATTATAATTTTTTTATTCTAAATATTTTAAATTTTTGATTAATTGTTTTATTTACATTTATGTTGGTTGTTATCTTAGAAATATAAGTATATCTTAGTAAAATTATGTATTTTAAGATTTTTTGTGCTTAGAACGAAAAAATAAAAATTAAAGTGTCTGATTCTAAATTGCATACATAAGTAATAATAAATTTTTGGAAACTTATGAACAGATATCAATATTTACAATAATTAAATATTTTATAAATTTTAAATATTTTATGCCTTAAATTGATTGGATGGTAAACTGAAATTTGTTTTAAATAATTTTAAAAATAAAGAATTATGATTTTCTTAAGTATTTTGATTATGGTTATATTAAATATCACAAACATAAAGACAGAAAATTAAACATCAAAAGAGTTAATATATCTATCTCGTTAAATTATATAGTGTTATGATATTTTAAAAGAAGTGTAGTTATTTGATCAAAAGATGTTTTTTTAATATCTCTTAAAATATGCAGTAAAAATGTGATTATTTTTGAGAAATTATATTATATAAGTAAAATATAATATATATTTTTTGCTGTAACTTTAAGATATTATAATCAAATAAATATACTAATTATAATTTTTTTTTGTCAATTAAGCATATATCAGTTTATGTTACTTAATTATTTTATGTAATCATCTAATAAAATAGATAGATATATACAAAAACTAATTACTTTGAAAATACATATTTTATTTTTTAAATTAGTTTTTTAAGAAAAAATATTTCTTTTTCTAATATCAAGATTATTTGTATGAACTTTTTTTTAATGAAAACACATTATATACATATATTTTTTTCATCTAAGAAGATATAGATATAAAGTATAACTAGATTTTGAACCGCGCTTGAAAACGCGGAAATTTTTTATGGTTAAAAATTTATATAATTGGTTTTTGTCTTAGTTTAAAGAATATTTTGATATAAAATCAGTTCACCAAAATTTGTGGTGATGATTATTTTTCATTAGTTTTTAGTTTCAGTTTTTATTTTTAGATTTTGGTTTTTGGTTTTTAGTGTTTAAGTTTCTACTTTTCATTTCAGTTTTTGGTTTGAGTTTTTTTAATTTTTAAACCCGCTAAGTTAGTTTGAACAAATATTACTAACAAACAAATCTCAAATAATCGAACATCTAATTCAAAACTAAAAAGATGACAACAAATTAAAAAAAAAAATTTGAAATAGTTTATTTTGTAAATAAACAAAGTAAAAAATATAACATGTGTTTTCAGCTTTTGGTTTTAAGATTTGGTTTTTGGTTTTGCTTTACATTTTTTAATCAGTAAATTACTTAAGAAAAATAAAACAATAAATTATTTAAAAGTTACCACTGAAATTTATCAAAACAAAGTGATTGTTATTTAGAATAAAAAAATATATTAACATGTTTTAAAGTACATGATTTAAATAAATGATTACTAATAGATAATTTTGTTTTGTTAAAAATATTAAATACCTTGTGGGTCTGAAAATAATAATTGATTTTTTGATCTTTTAAGGTGAAAAGTTTATTCAATGTTTTTAGAGTTTTTTTCTTAATACTAAGCCCAAAAACCAAACTATATAATTTGTTCAAAAAATAAAAATAAGCCCAAGACTATATTCCATAAATAACCACTGGTTTAATTTAAATATATTTAGTAGATTTCCATATTCCATATTTTGATGATATATATTCTTTTAAAACATTCCATATTTGTAGGAGAAAATATGTGTTTTTGGTATAGAAATAGATACCTGCCATATTTTGAAGGCAGTTTACATTAAGGTCGTCTTTTTATATTAATTGTGTTGGTTTAATTTAAGTAATACAGTTCAATCAATTATATTATTTTTAACATTCTAGAAAGGGTCCAAATTTAAATGACAACTTGTATCAGTAGATAAAAAGAATGACCCTGTTTTAATATAGTAGATTACTTAAAAAGTATAATTTATGTTATTTAAAAATATATTTAAGTTAAATATTAATATTTTGTAAACTTTCCTTTTTTATGAAACCATATTATATATATACTTATTTTTTCGTTTTTAATAGTTTTGTAAATTTTATAAATATTTCCTTTTTGTTTTATATTGTTATTTGGAAGATTTTAAAAAAGAAATAATAATATTTAAATATATTTTTAATTCATGAGGGGTATCATAGTAATCAACCAGCGTGAGAGTTAACATGAGCGCGACACCTAAGAAATTGACTTCTCAAATAATATTATAGAGATAGTATACTGTTTAAATATTATATTTCATCATTGTATTGTGTAACAGAGGCGTCGGTATAATATTGTGACCTGTTAATATTTTAGTTATAGTTTATAAGGTTTTTTTTTGCTAAATTTGGTACAAAATTATATATACGAAACAATTTAGTCAAATTTTTAAGTTAATTTTTCAACGAAGAATTAGAAAGCAAGTATATCACTGTTAAAAATTTATAACAATAGTCAATATAAATTATATAAATAAAATATATATTATTCTTGATTTATTCTAAATAAATTTAAAACACGAGTATATATATGTAAAAATAATTTTCAGAAATAAAGTAATATTAATGATAGAAAACCCAAAATCAATAATAATGATACTTTGGGCCATATTAATCTTTAGCTTAATAAATAAAGCCTATTAGTTTTGTAGGTTATCATTGTTTTCAATCACCATAATTTTAAATATTTCCTATTCATGTTTCCAAACACTTAACTTTTTGTACTTCAGCTTTAATAGTATAGATTGGGTTAGAATTGTTTTATTATAGAATAAAAAATAGAATGATAGATAAACAAATAAATGGATTATTCTATTTATACAATACACTAATTTTTACACTATAGAGCAAAAATATAGTAAAATTGGTATATTTTTACTCAATAATTAAGGTTCGAGGTGTTCAAACTAGGCCTCCTTAATAGGGTAATTTTTTACAAAAACCATTCGATTTGGATATGGTAAATAAACAAAACAACAGTAAAAAGATATAAATATATACATATAATGGTACATGATAACTGATTTGTTATATAATTTAGTTTCTTGTTAATAATTAATATCATATATTTTTACATTAAAAAATTCTAATTTGAAAAACATTTAAACAATAACAAAAACAAAAACTACTCAACGCAATTGAATTTCTTTCTTATTATTTTTAAATAAGCTTATTTTTTTTACTTTTTTTTTACGTTTGAATAATTGACAGAGTGAAGGTATGCTTTATTAATTTTCTTTTCTTTTTCTTTATGTATTATCTAAAATTGATTTGATTTGATTTTGTATGCTTTAAAAAAAAAAGGAAATTAGATGTTGCATGAAATTTCTTTTAACAAACATTAAAGACAATAAGAATTATAAAAACTGAGTCATTGATCATTTAGTTTGTTATTTTTTGACATTCTATTATTAACTGATATTATTTTAATAAATGATAGTTTTGACAACATGCGTCTTTAAAATTCATATAATATAAAAACAAATCAAATAATAATGTTTTATGGTATAAAACTGAATAAACCGAAAACTGCTAGTATAAAAACCAAACCAAACCAGATTAGCCATGGTTCTAATATGGTAGCTAATTTTTATAAATCAAAATACCGGAAAGCCAAAAAAACCGAATCGAAATCCAGATTGAACACCAGAACAAAATAATAAACATTAATATTTTTGTCAAATTTGATAATGAATATTTTATTATATTATTGTTGCAGATATAGAGAAAAGGAAAGGAATAATTTTGTACATAATGTAAATTTCAAATGATAGAGATAAATAATTTTCTTTTGGAATGAATGTAAAAATTTTATTCAATCAAAACTTCTATTACATCAAGTGCATCCATTGTTGATTAGCAAATAAAATCAAATAATAAACTCAAACGTCCTCTTTTAACACTTCAAACTAAGAAGTGTCTTGCATTCTTGATCCAAACCACACATACAACCCTTCTTCAAGGTATCTTTGACAATTCCCCTTGACTCCTAACAACTTCAATCTTATCAATTTATCCACACATTTGATCAAAATTTTTCATCTCTTTGTTGTTCTCCATGCCTATCAACATTTTGTTTCCTCCATAGACTATGCAACAAAACTTGAAAAGCATACCGAATAAGGAAACATTTCAGTTGCTGTGTAATTGGATTTTGGTCAAGAAACCACATCTAGAACCACACTCCATTCTAGAGTGAAAGCTTCCTTCATTATCCTTTCTACTAGCTTCTTCCACACTTTTCCAGAGTATCCACACTTGACGAACATATGCTGGCAAATCTCCTGCTCTTCTTGACATAACACACACAATGTATTCATTGTTGTATTCCACCTCTGTTTTCCATCACAAGTTAATTTGTAGTATGTTTTGAGCAGCTACCCATAATATGAAAGATAATTTGGGAGTTGAATGGGAAAACCACACTCCTTTAGTCCAATCACACTCTGGTTGTGCTTGACGCATGTATACCCAAGTCTTCTTTGTTGAAAACTGATTTGCAAACCAGTTCTCATCTTATTTTCAGAATGGAACATCATCAACCTGATTATTCGTGCTTCTCAACTTATTAATTTCATCTCCCA